TGAGTAAAAGGAAGAAATAATGTGTTTTTAATATTTTTTTATTTAAAAATATCCACATTTGGTCTCCAATGTGAATGGTCTAATGGTTTTGGGTTTTTCGAATAAGACTTTTAGTAAGTCTTGGTGACTACTAAGTCACAGAAACTCAATATATTTGGTGAAAAGGTAAAACAAGAATATAAAATTATCATCTACAATCCAAGTGAATTGCTTTGACCGTACCTATCATCTCTTAAAAACTTAGTTATGCTTAAGAGATGTTAGCATAAGTGAATTATCATCTCTTAATTTGGTGCATAACTTTTTTTTTAATCATTTTTATGTGCCAATTATAAATATGATTGATCAATTCCTAACAAAAATTTATTTTATCAATCAAATATATAAACAGAAAATACAATTGTTCATAAATCATTTGGCAAAATTGTGTAATATGAATTCAACAAATCAAATTTATAAGTTTTCTTTAATAATAACTTTGCAGCTTAATTCCATTCACGATTTACATGATTCAAAACGTTATATCATAATCATAAGCCATTCAAATAATTTGACGGACGACACTGACCATTATGACCCGTGAATTTTGTGGTCGTCGTCGCACTTTTGTTTTCAACATATTATTATTTTATGTAGTAATAATTTACTGTTGGGATATATAAATCACCTTTTATGATATCCCATTATAATATATCATGATTGAGAATATTGACTCACAGCTGTAATTGCTTCCTCGTGGAAAATATCAATCGGGCAATCAATTTCTAGTCACCATCTTCTGTCTTCTTATCATTTTTATTTTGAACTATCTATTTATTTTCTGATATTTTCTTATGGACATTGGACAAGTTAACCAACTGTATGATATTACAAAATTCGGTAAAACTGTAAAACAATCGAAAATATTAACAATAATATTATAATCAAATGACAAAATTGATGTTTTCTCAAAATGATGAGTGAGAAAGAAATGATTATTATGAAAAAATGAAAAAACCCTATACGATTAATTAGTATATAGGGTAAACAAAGATCATTTGGACATTATTATTATGTTTGTTTTGGGGACTTTTTATTACATTGCGTCATATTGTCGTCCTTTAAATGTACCATGCTCCATGATTTTCACGTTCATCTTCTAAATTTAGAATAATATAGACATTACATGATCAATGGTCCCGAATATGCCGGTCCTTATACTGAGATTGTATTATTTTCTGTTTACAAAAAGGTTATATTTTCTTGACTACATACTTGCATGCATGTG